CACCTTTCCTTCTGTTGTAACACACACGGGATTTAGGGTATCAAGCTGAAGTGTGATGTTGAGTTCTTCAGCGTACTTAATTAGCTGCTTCCTTTACGAGCGACTGGTGGCCTGATGCCATTGTTATTATTATTATTATTATTATTATTACTACTACTACTACTACTATTACCATTATTTTTATCTTGAACTTCATTTATACGATTGATACAACATAATAGGCGAGCCCATTCCCATGGTCCAGGGTTAGATTGACGTTGAAGTCTATTTGATGGAGAGTGCCTTTCTTAGGATGTGATATGTTTGTAGTGTGATCTTCTGTAGCTCATGTTTTTTGATATTACCTGGGATTTGTCGTATATACTTCTCCAACCCTTTCTATGTTAGTCCCAGGGCTCCTATCACTACCCGAATTGTTGTGGCTTTCACACCCCACATTCTTTCAATTTCCATTTCAAGGTCTTTATACTTGCCTACAAGGCCGGTAGACCATATTTTTGAAAGATTTTGCCTCTACTGCACAAACGAATACACACAAGACTAAATACCTCTCTCTAAATATTATGGTGATGATAATGATTATGATAACGATTATGATTAAAATGATAAAGAAGAATAAAACGTTCTAATTCCTTATAATTATGATCCCTTGAAATCAGAACAGTTATTAGCGGAGCTCCACTCGCGAAGCGCGAGCGGAGCTCCATAGCTAAGAAAATTTGGTTATCTATCCATCCAAGGAATTTTGGCAATCACGTGACCGTCCGCCCGACCGTCTGTTCATCTGCGTCACAGGGAAACCAATGTGAAATGTCACACGTTTTAGCTAATGTGGGAGCCTGCAACATGGTATTGCACATCCAAGTTGTGGTCAATTGACAGCTGACAATCAGGATATCCGCTGACCAGTATCACGTACCCATATTGCGGGTTCGACACATCGAGGTTACGCGTTGTTTTGAAGTTCTCCGCTGAGAAGTTACTAGTTTTCAACTGATCGCAAGCTGAACTCCCAAGTGAATTTCCTTGCAATGGTTACGAGTTTATTGTTTGAAGTAAATTACATATTTATTAACGGGAGCTTCGCCTTTAGGCTTGGCTAAATCTGTATATTAGTAAACTTCAATCTTTGGATTACATATTGAACTTAAACTGCTCCGGGGGCCCATGGGCTCCTGACTACTAATACAAGTACGACACCATGTACAATAAATTGAAGGATATGACTTTATGACAATCCATCTTTATTCCGAGAAAAAGAAAAAGATTTCCGTCGAGTATCTGCTTGATTTCTTTTAAAATTCGTGCTTGACCTGCTCTGGAAAAGCCGTATTATTTACTCTAAGGAACGGAACGTGTCGTCCTCGAGCTGAGTAACGGGAGCAGGTGTACTGCGGTAACATATCAAAATTTATGAGTGATGACTGAACACCGTTCTTTTTCCATCCACCTATAGTTCGATCACATTCAGTGATCTTCTTCGGGGTGACTAACTAGCCGTTAACGCACGGCACTTTTAAAATTGCTGAATTGCCAAGGCAACACGCGCGCATCACAACTGAAATGACTGTTATTTTAAAAGTCCAATGGAAAATTTCATGGCATCTACGCGCGCCCACACGCGTCTTTCTGTTTTGGGCATAAAAACGATCATCTTCATTAAGTCCCTGTGGGCGCAGCGTTCCTAATTTGTGCATCCACTGTCACCTCCTTCTCCCGCAACTCCCTCTCTCCTATGGCCCTGTCTATCAACTGTATACGCATATGCTTTAATCCTAAGTGTCCCGAATTATGAAAATATGCTGGTAAAGAGTATCATCATAAGATTCCTCTTATTTTCTGAAGACAACTTGAGATGAGCATTGCTTGTGATTACTAAACCTAAACCTAAAGGTAGTGGTAGTGGATGCAACATACTGAATGCCACACATCTTACAAGAAATGAGATAGCCTACATTTTTTATGAGAGCGCGAATATACTGAAAGCGTAACGCAGCATCAAATATAAGTAATATTCGAAAATTATCGTTGAAAATTAATAGAAAGTTTATTCGATGTGTTTCTAACTAGACCTTAATCAGTAACAATGAGAAATCAATCCTTTCTCAACGTTTCAAACCCGCTTTGCATCTCTAAACGCCTCTCCGAAGCACCGCCAACTTTGCAATGTTGTCTGGAATTGTCTAACTCACGATCACCTCGCACAGATTAGTTGCCCAGAGAGTTGAAACTTGAGCTTTTTATCTCGCGTGCTATTCGTATCTAAAGGGACATACTCATTATCTCTGTCCGCCAATCTTGAGACGTTACATTTGTCAGGTGTGCAGCTTAAAAAAGTATGACCATCTATATTAACAAAACCGAAAGGGTTTCATAACTTTAATTACTGCCCCCGTACAACTGCATTATAATAGAATACATGGATTAGATATAAATAATGGATAACACTTGGAATATCAAGACTCGGTATATTCTTTGTAAATATCTTTTGATGGCTTTGGTTATGGACACTTTCTTTGAGAAGATAGCTTTATAGTGTGCTGGTTGGGTTATTTGACTTAAAAATAATGTATTAATGAGTGCTTAATAATAGCTTTTGCAGAGGATATCTCGTCTGCAATATTGATAATTAAAGGAGCGCATTCTGCTTTTTATTCTATTTTTATTTCTTTGTTCTTTTATTATCGTTATTATTAATTTTTTTACATATTGGAATTACCACGCAGCTACACAACTTTTGCCACAGAATTAAGCGTAAGCGTAAGAAGCTGACGATTCCCAAGCTTGTAATTACCGGTCTTTCGTTCAAACTTTCACTTGTACAGACTTTTTCATCTTCTTCGCCAGAACTCTAAGCTTCGCCCGAATCAACGTCGTAACAATGCTTAGAAACAATTCACAAGCCAGGACGGGCGATTCTTTTTTTAATTTCCGTTTCGCTGACACAGCCTTATCAGAAATCTCTCTGTAGTCGTTTTCGTGGACAAAACGAATAGCAATATCGCTCTCCGCGTCTTCCGCCATTTTGTTCTGCGTCAATTCGTGAAGGACGCGTGGCTCTTAGCGTGGGTCATCCACGCAGAACACATTCGCGCTATGTGATTGGCTGTTGTCTAATCCCCCTTTGGATCTGTGGTCTTAAAAATAACTCGAGACAAATTACCTATGGAATAGGGTGTGTATGGGGGATGCCTAGCTTCTCGGTCCCCTTCATCCTCTCTTGCCTGATCCTAATAGACATTAATGAAGAAAAATGTGCAAAATACTAAACACATATGTACATGTTTTATTCAGCTAAAATTTCATTCTTCGAAATATAATACAGTAGATAAATCACACAACTGTTGAGCACAGCAGCAATGGAGAAAATTTATTGTTTTTCATAATTAATACAGAATTCAGAGTTTAGTGTTAATCCGAGTTTACTGAAATATCACTTATACATTAATTATTAATCCCTGATTGAAAATTGTCATGAACTAACAGATAACTCATGCAGGAAACAAAGCAATACATTTTGAGAATATTGTAACTTTTAATTTCCAATGCATCTAGTGAAATTCCAATGCACTTTTTTTCAGAAATAGTATAGAATAGTGTATTATTACTATCTGCTTGTTGTACCGGCCGGGGTTATGTCGTTAAACAGGAACTAAAACTGTATCTGAGGCTGGATGCTTTCTCCCTTGAAGCGACTGGCAACATTCTTCTCTTCTTTTGTAGCCCAATCTCCTCTTTTATTCTGAAAGAATATCATGGCCAGATCTTTAATTGCTGACCAGTAAAAAGGCCATTAAGTTCGAACACAAATTCAATGCTTTAGGAAGAAGTTTAGTTCTCTGAAATTCTCACTGAAAGAACACAGTGGGGAAATAGAAATAAATATATCAATAGAGACTTTAAGATTCTAAGACGCAAAACGACTAAAAGTACGAGATTTGCGGTGACTGAAAGTTTCTTCGCGTATTCTCATTACATGTAATTGACACCCTGGAAGGCTTCATTGTACTTTTGATTCACCGGAGACGCTAGCTGGTATCTTTATTTCAGGAGGTTAAGCCCTGTACCGACCGTAAAATGATAAAAATTTTAACATTTGATACCTTGTTTTTGCCACTACGACATTCTCGAGAAAACTCTCCCTTTCCCGCCAAAATGACGCTGATTCTTGCGCGCGCACTACTCGGTGTGTCTATTGAGAAAATATCTTACTCGTAGTCGTACTCGTCTTAGAATCTAATTTGGCGTCTTTTATCTCACCATTACACTCTGTGCTGTAGAAAATGTCCTCTTTCCATGTCCTCCCCTCCCCAAATTAATACCCTCCATACCTCCGATTACGACAGCTTCACTTTCAACTGAAAATGTTATTAGTACAACAACGACAAAAAGGAAGCAACAGGCTCTGATTTCCATAGCTTAGTGTAGTGTTCCGTCGCTGCTTAAAGGGTAAAGTCTATAGTGGCCAAAAATTTTTATTCGACCGAACTTAAATAAGCAATGTCCAATAATATTTTGGACATTAGAATACAGATTGGTTATTATTTGCTTCAGTGCTGTTATTACAAGTTTGATTTGCTAATTGGGAAATGAATACTTATTTCTTATTTATTGAGTAACTGACAGAAAGGACGCCTGTAAATGGCATCTTCGCATCAAAGTTGTTAACTTTTATCATAAGCTTTACAATTATTAGGGGTGCGTTCCATTGACCGTATTTCCCTATAAAAATCAACAGCGAAAGTGTTTCAAATGTGCTGTATTAGCGTCATGAACCAATTTTTCCAAAAAATACTTTGCACATCGTAAAAATTTAATGTCAGCCTGAGGGTTGTGGATTGAGGGTATTAAAGCCATAAAGCCATTTCTAGATGTCTTTTAATATCCGCAATTGTTTTTTAGCACGCTTGACGGCGCTAAAAATTCTCTGTGTTAACAGTTTTGTCTACCAATCGCGGCCAGATAACCTCACTATGTAAGAGACTCTCATCCTTGTTCAT